ATATCTAATTAATAAATTGCAATGGTGATAAGATATTGATATTTTAGCCAAGAAAAGTTTAAATAATTTTATTACAATACTCACAGAACATTTAATAATATGATGATGATTGACATTGTCCACTGACTAACAGTTGTAAAAAATATTTACATGCCTAGTAATTCCGTCTTGATAGCACCAAGGTACAGTAGAATTATTGTAGAATCACCAAATAACAAGTGTAGTTTCATTGTGTCTGGCCAAACACTGGGCATTCAAGCATGAAAGGATATTGTATTATATCCTAACGTGCACTAAAAACAATTCTAAAAAATGAGTTTAGTCTTCCGAATATTAGGAAGACTAAACCCATAAAACATATGTATTATAATATCAGATCTAATAAATCGTTTTGTCATTTAAACGCCGCGCGCCGTGGACTTAGGTCAATATGAATAGTAATAATGTAAAATGTATGTACGGATGGCAGCATGTCAAGCTAAACATAAACGGATCTTGGGAACGTTAACTTAATTCACCTGAATTAGTTCACCTAGGTGCATTAAGTACCTACACTTTTAGTAAACTTAAATCACCCTTGTTCCGTTATCCTTGAGGCGATATTCGAACAAAAGTAATTTGTGAACTTAGATTTCGCAAGAAGTTGGGTATTATTGTTTTTTAAAATCTTGGACAATATATACAAAATTAGGTACCTACATAATTATTTTATCATGTAGAAAGTGCTACATATTTATTTATTTATTTATTCATGGAAAACCAACAGCTATAAACATTTAGTAAGAAACAGCAATAAAAACATAAAGCCAATTACAGGTTTTCACTTATAGCTACAAGTTAGTTAAACACGAGCATTGGACTAATAAAACTAATAAATACAGCAATCCCATACGTGCGTCAACAACCACATGTTATTCAATTAAATTAATTAATATATCTGTTATTTTTCGTTTTAGTGCATCAATGTTACAATTAAATATATCTACATCCAGGTCATAGTCACTTAGCACACCATTTAAACTCCTACTAGCTCTACATATAAAACTATTCTGTCTATAGTTTGTCCTCGCTATGGGAACTACAAGAGGGTGGTAGTGTCTCATGGAACGTGTTGGAACATTAAATGAGAGTTCACCCAATAAGTCAATGCAATCAACCTTGCCGTTTATAATATTTAAAAGATACATTATATCACAGATTTTTCTGCGATCATATAATGGTAATAGACGCTGATCTTTACAGAGACGCAAGTAACCCAATGAATTATAAGACTTACCCATTTTATAACACAAGAATTTGTATGTATATATATAACATGTATATATAACACAAGAGTTTGTTGTAATATTGATAGTCTATTCGTTCTATCTATTGTCTAGAGCATATAGCAGGTATTTTTAATGCGTGTAATGTCCTAATAAGAGTTGATTAACTACCTATGTTAACATACCTTTTTTTAGTAGCAGTAGAGCTCCTTGTGAAAGAGTTCGTCCAGGAAGGTACTGCCACCTTATCTATTTCTGCCGCCAAGCAGTAATGTCAGTTCGTCCCGTAACTTGATATTATAAAAAGCCTTATATGTATATTATTATTATAATTATTATATATTATATTTTTTATATAGTAAAAAGGTTATTGGATTTGGCTGAGTGTATTTAATTTAATTATCATTGTTCTAAACTTGTGGTGGTAGAACCAGGTACTTGTACTTACGTGTCTTAAACGAGTTCTCTTCCTCTCCAAAGCTTAAAAGCTCCAAGAAAGATGTAAAACGTTAAAAAACTCGAAGGCGTTGCTTTATATTGAGGTAGGTAGGTAAAATCAATTTCAGTAAAAGTTATCGATGTCCTTCTTGATCATCATTATGTTATTAGATTAACTCCCAAAAAAAACTTAAAATGGGTATGTAGTTTATTATGACAGCAGCAAAATTCTACGAACTATAAAACTGCTATTGACTAGACTGTGTAGGGGTTCGTTTGTAGTGTGTAGTTATAGTATTGCAGAATATGGAAGAAAATAAAGGGGAACTAGTGCAGCCAGCTTAGGGGTTGAAAGCTCGCAGTAGCCGGGCTGTGGGGTGGCAAAGCGGGGGTGGCGGGGGTCGGGCGGGAGCGCTCGATACGCGCGCGCGCCGCCGCACCCGCCCGCTACAAACCGAACGAGCCAGCCAGTCGGTTTTCGACGCCCTTGCGTTTGGTTGTATGACGCTGCGCGCGGCTAGCATCTGTCAAACGTTCCGATATCTACCGATAACGAATTCGCTCTTCCAAAGTACGTACTAAACCTATGTTTTGGGTTATAATAAGTGATAATCATAAGTTAAAGTACTGTAAGTTACAGCATAAATAAGTTATTGTACTTGTAGTTTCAGTTTTTGTCATTTCAATTTTGTTTACATTCGCGACACATGTTTACAGTCCTAAAAAACAAGTGATGATAAAACTTCAGAGGTTTTGTGATTAATGTAGTGCCTTTAAAGTGATATTGTTGTATTGTGCAATTTGTAAATTTAGCGTTTTTCATTTAGAATGCTGCTGTTGTCACTGTGCCGATTTGTGGCGTGCTTGGTTTTTTATTAGGTCTCTTTCGAATGGGGATCAGATCGTCAAGGTTTTCATAAAAATAACCGTGCGTTTTTATTTAGTAAAATGAGTGTGTGAATATTTGATGGTGTGTCGTGAACTGGCGCTTACGTAGGGTCGAGATTGGTTTGGCGAGAGTCGCGCGGCGGCGCAAGGGGGTATTGATCGGCGGCAGCGGGTCGCGAGCGAGACGCCGGCGTCGCCGCCTGCCGCCTAAATAAAGCTCCGCATGTGTGCATGGCCGCGTTGCCCTACGTCCAAAGTCGGAGCCGTTACCCGCCCGCCTCCATCGCGTTGTCGTCGTCGTGCGCCTTGTGCCCGTCACACATGATCGGACTATTGCAATTATTTATCCACCCCTAACTCCAGCCGCAAAGCCCACTATTTCGCCCCCGAAAAGTATTCTCTCTTCAGTGCACTTTTTATAAGCATATCTTTCAGAGTGTCCAATATAAACAATCCATATTCACACATTAATTTTGCTGAATGAGGTCCATTATGCTTGACTGTCGGTATGGTTGTAGATTTATCAAGATTGTAATGATAGGACGTAACTATATAGTGTTTACAAGTTCAAAATCGTTTTATTTTGTGTAAATACTAATTTGTGCAGCAGATTGCACTGAGAAAAATAAGATTATATGTATTTGTTGTCTTTAGTGTAGGTTGTCATTAGGCAATAAAAGAAACTTTAGGGCAACCTATTAAGGGTTGGTGTCGACTGTATCAGCGGGTTTTATAGCCTTATTTCCACGAACGTGATTCCCGGGTGGTGCAAATAAAAGGACTTCATTTCGGGGGTACGCTTCTACCGTGAATGGTGACTAAGATTATAGACTGATAGAGCCCTCGAGAGGGGTCAAATTAGAAATCAAGTTAAAAAAAGAGAACGCTATTTCTGAATTCTCATCTGAAAACTTAGATTGTCAAAGAGTAAACTTTCGTAGCATAAATAAATACAGCAATGTAAATTTAATGAGTGCAGAGATCCTCAGAAATACTCGTTAACAATATACATATGGTACCTATAAGTCATTTGTGTTTTTTTTATTTTATAGGTGTAAAATGTGGGCTAAGTGAGAAGTTCCTTGTGTGAGGCATGGTGCGCCCAGTGTTGTCGGCCGGAGCTCTGCTCTGCGCCCTGGGTCTGCTGCTAGAGGCGCAAGCACTCACATTGCTGCCCCACGACGTCCGCCCCGGCCATGCCGTCCATCATTTTGCTGGCAACCACTCGCATTACACCCTCCTAGACCCTGAGTACGCTCCATACTTCACCCTACTCAACGATGGCCTCCTTATGACCACTGCCGATCTCGAACCGCTTTTAGATCGACCGCTCAATTTGGCCATCTTAGAACAAACACCGTTTAGTAGCTCAGCACACTCCATCCATCTCCTAGTGGTGGATAGGAAACGAATGCTTCATTTCCCTACAAACGGCGATTTGCAAGGAGAAATCCCAGAAAATTCACCCGCTGGAACTGTCATCGATCTTCCACCCATACGAGCTACCGCATTAGTGGATATCGGTCCTGTAGCTTACAAAATAGTAAAAGGAAACGAGGAAAACATTTTCGCCTTGCGTGACAAAACCAAAGACAGTGTTCCTGAAGTAAGATCTGTAATCACGGAGGGTGATGTGGAAATAATAGCAACGCGACCTTTGGATACCGAAGAAAAGAACGTATACGATCTTATTATACAGGCAACGGATTTACACGGGGCAAATAAAGGTAGCCTTCCTATTCGTGTGCTCGTGACAAATGAAAACGATCATGCACCTATTTTTGATCAGAGTATTTATTATTTTGCTGTTAATGGGACTCCGAACGAGAACGGTCCTAATGGGACAGGACATTGGCAAAGATTTTCAAACATTGGAAAGGTGCATGCTTATGACGCTGATGGTGATAGGATTTACTACTCGTTGATGAATCCTAGCAATTTGGCGGTCATAGTCCCACAAACCGGCGAATTGATTTTGGCCGGGGAGCCGGATAGCCACGAAGCGGAATTGAGGGTGCTTGCACATGATACTGGTACTCCGTCGCGTAAAAGCCGACCAGCACGCGTGTTTCTCGAGTTTGTAATCCGCGATCGTAGAAACCTCCCAACGCTTCACCGCGAGAAGCGTCGCGTTACCCGTGCAGTTCGACCGACGAAGCGTATTGAATTTACTGAAGGCGATGGTGAAGTAGAAGGACGAGCTGTGTTTACCCTTGAAAAAGAAACTGACCGGGAAACATTCAAAATTCGGGACGAAAATCCGTGGGTTACCGTAGAGCCAAGTGGTGTTGTGAAAGTTAAAAAGAAGTGGGACTATGAAGAATTAGGACCTGAGAAGACTATCGATTTTTGGGTCACCATTACCAACGCTGGAAATGGAGGTAAGTTTATCCTGTCCAACATATATTTGAGGCTATCAGCCCAAAAATGGTGTAACCAACATTTTTTTTTACAATATTGCTTTAAATGATACTAAAGTACGTAATATTTTATTTAGATGCTATTTTCATCTTTTTTTTAATATATAATAGACACACGCTTGGCAACAATCTCACAATCCCATTTCCATCTATGAAAAAAATCATAATTATACATTATTACTATGTAGGTCATACAATAATTTATCAAGTAATAATTACTATTACTTATATACAATTAATTTGGCTAATTTAAAATCTCTCATTGTCTACTCCTATATGCTTTTCATGTGGTTACATCACTTTCGCGTTGATAGCTTCATTTAACAATAGTGTCGAAATAATATAAAATGACCGGAAAAAACAACAAACAAACTTTTATGTTCCGCGTCCAAGACTTAAACACGATTAAACTACATGTTATAATTGCACCCATATTTTACTTTACGAAAATGTCACAGCATGTGTCCAAAGCTGCGAGCGTGTGCTCTAAAATGCCAAAAATAACGCGCGAGGAATAGTGTAACAAATCGTTGCTCATCATATTATTTATCATTTTGTTTTTTGGTCGGTGTGGAGGTGCCTACTTTTTTATAAAGGCACTCTCTCATAATCACTAACGTCTCTATCGGGGTGAATTGGGTTGGGATAATGACAGGATAGAATAGGGAAGCGCAGGAGAGTGCATTGTTGTCGCCTTTGTGTTCGACTTTGTTTATTTTTCAAACTCATCGACGGAGGTCAGGGTCGACGTACTATATTTTTTTTACTTTAACGTGCAACATATTATTAAAAAAAAGATGTAATATTCAGTCACATCTGTCACAATGAACTGTGAACAATAAACGTAGGTACGATATATATCTCATTAAGTAAACGTAATTTTTAACAAAATGTAAAAGCAAATCAATGATAGCAGTCACATTAATTTCTTTTTGAAGGATAGTCGTATAGTACTCTGAATAAAATAACTACTCTACTATAGATTTATGCAAGAGGAATAATTGCTTCATCAAAATTATAAGCGTTGGCCGTACTAGGGGCGAGCAACCCTTTTTGACGTCATTAGCCCCACCGCAGGCGCGGGTCACGTTTGAAGATGATTGTATAATCGTGAGGCAATCTTTTACAATTTTGTATTGTCTTAGAAGTGCTTGAATTAAGATGTCTTCAGCCGGTATAAATAACAGTTAACTTTATGGTAAGGTAATAACAAAAAAACAGATATAAGTAGTTTTATTACTCATCTTTCATTGCTAAAATTACGTAATAGTTTTTTGATTAACCGAATTGTAAAGCACAGAATGCGTACGCGTCGCATGCACCTGTCGGATCGAATCGCGCGGTGAAGCATGACAGTAGGCAGGTCCCGCGCCGGTCACGAGCTTCAAAACCCGGCACAGGCTCCGCCACTCCGTCTCTGGGCTCCCATCACGACCGGCAAATTAGTTACTCCTTGCCCCAGGATGTTGGTTAACTAATTGTTGGAACCCTTTGAGTCATGTGTGGTCTTAAACAATAATGTTTGTTAGAGAATTGATTAGCGTTAATTATTTTATAGTTTAACTTATGAATTATGATCCTCCGGTATTCTTAAAGGCAGGAAGAAATGTGTTAATTCGAGTACGATGTGTATTAATAATTTAAATTTATGAATATACTTGCATCGCAAAAGAAGACACGGTATCTCATACAGTTGTTCGTTAACATATTACTGATACACCAGCCAAATATGTCTGTAAACTCACTGCCGTCGTTACATAGTCTGAGAACATGCAAGTTACACCCCCAAAACGTTAATACGTCTAAGTGGGTGGGGGGGCTTGACTGCATTCCAAGTGTATCTTCAGATAATCTTAGGTGAAATCATACACTCAAAAATGGGGTACAATTAGTTTTACTTCTTATTATTTTATACAGGAATGCAAGATCATGAATGTCCCATTGCTTGCTCAGTGCTAAATAACCCTTCCCTCCCATATGTATAAAGTATGATAAATTCCAATTAAAACTCTTGCAATCAATATTCAATTAATGTGTAGCAAAAATATAGACGCCACATGATACTACAGTACTACAATATTAAGGAGACGCCTAGATTATGAACATTGTCGACTTCATTCATTGTATGCCAGGCAAAGTATATTATGAAAGTATATCTCTTAACAATAATATTAGAAAATAACGTATAAACACTTTAATATTTAAGCACGTTTTATTATCGATACATCCTTTATTATACAGAGTCAGTCAAGGTCAGACTGGAGGAGAGACACGTCGCGCTCCGATTCAACTACACCACCAATTTTTAAATCATTAGCAGACGCGTTGAATAAATAAAGCACTGTGGGATGACGTTCATAAAAAGATTAAATAGTAGAGGTCCTAGATTAGAACCTTGAGGAACTCAAGAAGTTACATTTTGTACGACAAGTACTTATTTTACGTCAATCAATTATGACCAAAAACAAGGATTAGGTTAGAAGGAACATTCCAACGTTGATAGCATATAAGTCACATTATTACGGGCCTCTCACCCTGTAGATATCAGGAGTAGCACGAGCGAAGCGTGGAATGGCCATTAGCTACAATCAACTATGTTCGTAGTTGAGTGGCAAGTGCTCGCCACCGTGCAGAATGCGTTGAAAATCGGGGACCTGTCGCACGACCCCGCCGTCTCTCACCTGATTCATTCCATAACTTGACCACAACGGTTGACGCGTTAATTTCGAATATTGTAATTTGTAATATTCCCACTTTTACACACTTTTACAAAACTGTGTATATGTCCCAATTGGACATTTACTTTTACATTGTCGAGCACTTCGCCGACGTTCGAATCAATATCGAATAGTGATTTTGTGTATACGTAGATTAACGATACTAGGTAGTATATATTAGGTGTATGATTAAAACTAATATGTAGGTCTGTAAAATTATAAAGTACAAAAGTGAATTACGATTTACACTATGTGAACACTTTAGCTTTTATGAATTGCAGTGACCTAGTTACGCGAACAGTTTACTAGGAACAAATAATTTCAAAGTTGTTGTGCTTGCCACGAGCTTAACGTGCTGTCTGGGTAAAGGGTTAATGTATAAAACATGTGTGAAAAAACTAGGTTTGTCGTAGACTGGAAATATTAAGTTGTAAATATTTGATGTAACGACCATTTGTCGTACTTTCGTTTCGAAGCCAAGTAAATCTTTGTAGAACATCGGAAACGTATAAATCGTGTCCAGTTGTGTCTTATCGCACACTATCAAAATAAATCGAGAGCAGTGTTGTTTAATTACAACATTCTGGCTGGACAGCGTCCGTGGTGGGTGGCCGGCCCGAGGCTCGGGCGCCGTATATATACATCGAACCCCGCGCCCCGACTGGAATCTAATCATTATCATTATTGTGTAGATACTTGTTTCAATAGATTATCGTGAACAGGCACAGGTAGGAAGGATCTCTTACTCAGCGGTCGGATGTGAACTTTGTTCAAAATTGCTTACTCAACTCGTATAACTAGTCTGGAATCCCTTAATTCCATCGATCCTTTTATTCGGTTACGTTTTAATAGTTTGCTTTATTGAACCTTTTTAACAGTGTTTCAAAAGAGGAGGTAAACCTGACCTGCTCAGATACGATATAAGCAATAGGCATAAATTGATTTATGAATCTCTTAGTAGTAGAGTAGGTAGTTATAAGTTTTTGCAAATAAAAGCGAAAAAACATAAGTTTTTGCAAATAAAAGCGAAAAAACATTGTCTAAAGCAATACTAATTATTAAATACAATTTGAACAGAATTTCAACTTAATTCAAAACGGTTAAGACGGAAACCCGCAAGTGTTGTTATCTCTTGAATGCACGAGCGAGTATAAAGGTTTTCGTCAAAGCACCTTTGACTACATAGTCTACACTACAGGCAAGCGTGCTCTATTGGCAAAGTAATTATGTGCTCGCTTCTCAACACTAGCGTTTGTCTTTGAGCCGCCAATTGACAAACGCTTTGGAGTTGTTTTCAGAAACATGTGCTATGGATAACAAGGACGTCTTATACTGTTAATCGCATTATGAGTTACCATTGCCGTACTCTGATCGAATTGGTGATTTCTTTTATATTTGATATGACCACATTTTAGAGATAAGGCACAGGTGCGTTCGGTCTCGGTGGGGCATTTTAATCCTACAAGACAAATGGTTGATGCAACGGCATCTTATTAATTCCTTGCAGCGAATACCATAAGCGACGTTCACTGCAGTTTGTCATTTCATTGAGATTATATATTACAATTTATTTGAATTATTTTCTATTCAAATAAGGTAAGGTAATTGTAACTCTTACTATTATATAACGGCTTATCGACAAAGAATTGTGTTCTTCAACATAAAAAAAACTTGAAATAAGTTTTTGCTTTAGCTTTCTTTAAACAAGCGTGGTATATCGGCAAACGGATTGTTGGATGGCTGTCGGTCACTCACTCCGATGTTTGCTGTGCGTTTGTCAGCATCTTCTATTTGATTGAAGTATAATTTGAGGCTGTTGATTTGTCAGCTAATTTTAACATGTTTTACTGAGACCATCTAATTGGAGAACGTAATTAATGAGCGTGTTACCCTGGTACTAAATTATGTACGGTATTTCCTGTACACCCGTTTTGTGACACGTTGTTCACAATTTAGTCTTTTTAAAGGTTACTACAACAGTTATTATATTAAGTAAAGTCAGTGATAGAGTGTGTAGAATATGTGATATAATTATATGTTGCGATAGCTAACTGCAGTACGGGTTCTATTAAATCAATAATTGAGTTAGATGGTTGGTGTGTTACGTCTAGCGATCCATTCGCTTGAAATTGGCACATCCGGACCAGGAGCCAGTGACGGGACACGTTATTACGTTGAGATTGATAGATTGATCCATTCTATCAGATCTCAGACGGAGACGAAATGTCACAATCAACAGATGTT